CCGTATGAGCAGCCTTCGACGTCTATGCACTTGTACTAACTGATACTATGGCGCAGTCCAAGTGACAATAAAAAGTTATCCATAACTACGACAAACTTGTTTTTCAATTCCTCTGTAAGATACAGTTGTCTTGTTCTTTACAATGAATTGTTCTTATTATCTTATCCTAGCCTGTCTTCCTCTGCTGTACAGTCTGTTTTGAATTTAGGGTCAAGATCCTTTCACATGACTTGCATGTGAGGACCACTCAAGAACTAACAACTTAAAGCTTTCAGACGCTTTCAGATTCCATTAGCATTTCTGTTTCTGCTGTGTGAAGAAAGTCTCATATAACACCACACAAAAAGAGTAAAAAGGAAAAAAAAAACCCAAATATTAATCCACTGAACGACTATGAAAACTAGGCCATAGAATAATCTAGCCATCCAGTCTGCAATGCACATCAAATTCAAAAAAACAAAGGTCAAATACCTGGATGTAGAAAGAAAAAAAGAGCACAACATGAAGCATTTTCCTATCATCTTCAAAAAACACTGCAGTTAGGTTTACTACATGCCTTTCTACAGCACCAAAAGTCTCCAACAAGAGAAATTATTTTAAAACCCAGTTTTAGAAAGTTGTATAGCCAGCAGTATATTTACTTCTTGATTTGAAAATAGCAAATTGAAAAACACTGCATATGCTATAGCTGATACTTGTCAGGTGATAGTATCAGTTGGACAAGAAACCTGTGGACCCAATGGTCGTGTCAGCGGTGCTGTACCCATAAGAAGGTATTCTGAAGCCTGAGTGATTGTTCAACAGCATAATCAAGTACCAGAAAGAAAGGAACAAAGTCTATTTTTTCTCCCTGTTGAACACCAACAATAGTATTCTGCAACAAATCATTCTTATCCCTGACATTTATAGTAAAGGTCTACTAGTGAATCAGGACTGAAAAAAAAGGAAAGGAAGAAAAGGAGGAGACAAACACTAGTCACTCAGCAAAGAGCAGGGCTACAAGAGCAGACATGTTATGGATAAGAGTGTCCCGCATTGGCAGATGTATTGAGAAGACAGTTGTTCACTGCTACTATGATTAACAGCGCATTGGGGTTGAGGTCTGAATACCACAAGCTCAATACTAGTACAAAACTGAAATATAAGATAATTTTTTTTAAGTAAAAATATTTATTCTTGAAAGTGTTGTAAAAATGTTTTGGACCTAAAAAATGAAATGTGCAAACACACTGCAAGAATCAAGAATTTCTTGGGATACAGAACTAAAATATTTATAAAATATTTATATTCTGACCACAGGAAAAAAGCGTTAAAAGTTTTACTTACTTTGGATGGGTAAATTCATCTACTAGGACAACCTTCTCTATCAGGTCTCCACCAATGGTTCGAGCCAAATCATAGAAATCATTCTTGGAGTATGGCTCAGAAGGCAGCCAAAAGGAGATGTCATTGATCAAAGGTGGATATCTGCTGAGTGGCTAAAAAAAATAAAAAAAATACCTTTATAAGTGGCTGGACTTGGTAGGTATACCTACAATTGTTTTGAACTTGTATAACGTACACAGCACACACTTTAGAAGCTTTCTGAAATGCTTTTTGAAGTGCAAACTGACCTTGTAAACAACTGAGATGCAAGACTCTAGACTAGGAAAGGTCTTTTAAAGATCAGCTCATAACCACTTTGATTCATTCATTCAGAAGAAAAAACTTGGTTTGTTTATTAAAATCAGCATTTATGAGCCTGAATACACTTTTGGATCAAAGCCGTTTAAAAAGAAGAGAACATTTTAACATGATTATTCACTGGATAGAATTGCACTTTTTAAAAGCATTTTTCAGATTTTTTTTTACAGATTCAAAAATTCTTATCACATCATGTATAAAATCTGTATGCATTTTATATCATTCTTATATAACATGATATGTTTATTATTTGTACTGTCCAATTTTTAAGAAAGTCTTATCAATAGGTGCATTCTTATCAAAAGGTTATAATAAGAAACACACTTTGGCTTAAAAAGGGAGATCAGTTCACTTCCCAGTGGTTTTTATAGACATCCAAACATCTACAACAACAAAAAAAGTATTGCTGTTAGCATACTTATTAATTCCACAAGTACCACAACAGACTCCTAAACATAACGGGGCATCTTTGCTGCAGACAGAAAGACCTCATCTTGTGGTCAGAGCAGTGAAACTTGTTATTTGCAAAACAGGAAGAGAAAGAAAACAAGACAATTATTAGTTTTTCAGGTTTGATGAAACTTCTCTGGGGTCAATGGGTTTCAGATCTTGCCTTTGCTGAGACATTTCCCCCTTTGAAGAAAAGAAAATGGTTATGCTCTTGTTTCACGCCCCCTCGGTCACGCAATATCTTACTTCTGCCTTCCATTAACACACTGCAGTTGAAATAAATAGATTTGCACAAGATTGTTGGGGTCTACAAGAGAAAACATCTTTTCTAGTTTTGCTCATATGCATATGACAGCTGATGTGTACACCTTGGTCTATACAGTATATTATCTCACTCAAAAATGATTCCATGCCTGGGAATGTTTTATGATGGAGCAGTGAAATCCTAAGTGAATACCTGCTAAAGCAATAAACCTGTTAAAAAGGCAAATTTACAGCATGCTGATTTACACAAATCCTGCCGTACAGTGTAAACCACTCAATAAATATCTGATAAGGAATACAGTGTAAGTTTTACATTAATAACCCTCCCGGTGAATAAAATTGTGAATCACAAATGATTAGCCAACTTGTTAAAGGAATAAACTTGTCAAATGAATTCATATCCTGTACACCAAATTCAAAAAATGTTGCACAATAAAGCCATCACACAAAAGCTTTTGATGAAACACTAATGAATGAAATGTAAACATCTCTGCTATACGAAAGTCACAGCTGCAAATGCTGGAGATACTCCTCAGTCAACAACCTGATCCATGCGTTAGTGTAAATAATATTATAATCCTGCAGTAGACCCCTATATTCTCACCACACACTGTCTACCACTATATTTACCACTGCTATATTTAAGCAACCTACTGAACACACTTCAAAGCTTGTGGGGACTAATCCAAAACTCACTGAACTCCCAGCTTCAGGATGTTTAATAATTCATTAGAAGATGTGGCTCATGAGCCTAAGCATGACCACTCCATTTGGGCAGGTGCCTTCCTTCATTCCCATAGGGATGAGGACACTAAAGAAAAATAATTACGCATTCAAGTAACTCAGTAATATCCTAAGTCCTGAAAGGAGCAGAGTATCCACAATTCATGGTGAGTATTTGCTACCAAGTTTAATAGCAGCAGGATTATGTCAGGCACATGATAACAGAACTCTTTTTCTTACTTAAAGTGAGATGTACACAAAGACCCAATGTGGTCAGAACTTGCAAATGTACCTGGAACAGTCTGACTTATATTATCGGTGTCATCAAATGCCATGTGAGCAAAGTTACTCAAAGATGTAATAAAGTGTAGGGTCTGGCCCTCCTGGATTATCAAATCTGTAAGAAAACTGCTCCTTTGACTCAACCCATGGTGTTACTGGCTTAGATACAGAATTGTTGTAATTTTGTGTGTGGACATGTGTGTGCATGCTTGTGTGTGTTACATAGACTGGAAGAACAAATGCTTAAAACAGTAAGCGTAACTTTTTTATTATTAGGTACTAACTTTTTCTAAGAGCCTTATAATGCGGAAAAATCTTTTTATGGTAAAAGACAAGGCAATAATCCTCTATTATACTGTCCCTTCACCACCTGGCTGCAGTCAATATCATTGCAGTAAGTATTATATCAACACTAAAGTTAGTATAAGGATAAAATTCCTAGTTCTCAAACATATTGATCTGTTTGTTGTAGAGCTACATGAGCTACATAATTGTTTATTAGCTACCCCTAAAACGTGAAGAGGATAGGACAAGAGTCTCCAGCTGGCAGGTCAAAATGAAGTTACTAATTTTGTGCTCAGGTACCCCAGCAAATACATACTGTGGGCCAACAGCTCCCATTGCCATTACTGTCCTCCTTTCTAAACCCTCCTGCCCTTTAACAACAGAGAAGCTTAAAGCCCATTGACGTTGATCGCCTCCCTCGTTCAAGGCAAAGAGCAACCCAGAAGACTGTTGCCTTATGAGTTTACAGACATTTTAGAGGTCCCTCTTCACAGCAATGTGTTCTTCCCATTACATTTTCCACTCTGCTGTCACCCCCAGCCACCACTTCCAGCTACCTCCTCCTCACGACTTTGGTGTGCTCCAGCACAGTGCTTGGAGAAGCTAACAGGACATCGTCTGGCTCTGCTGCCTTCATGTTGGCCCTGAGTGCCAGCACGAAGCCCCGCCACCCCTCCTTCCACTGCCTGACCGACCACTCCTCTTAGGTTTTTGGGGAACTGAAAAGAGGATTAGGAAAAGGTACAACTGATCCCATCTGCAGAGTGTTTCTGCCAGGTGCCGGCCAGGCCTGGCAGACAGCACTACCGATGCACAGACAACTCTGCACCACTTCTTTGGTCCCATCACAGCTTTGTCACCCCAGCGCTACTTTAAATCTTCTGTTTACTTTCCATTTCAAACCACTATCTTTGGCATTTTTCAGCAGCCTCAGAAAACAAGAGTGCTTTCCCTGTAATTACAGTATCTACAGGACTCCACTGAGCCCACGTTGTAGGGAATATTGCAAATACTGACATCGCATTTTTCAATCACCCAAGGTGAAAGCATTTAGGAGTACTGAATTGCTATCATTTTTTTTAATAATAAAATGGAAGCTTACGATGATCCACCCTCAATGATACATGTTTACTAGTCATTAGTCACACTTCCTTCTCCAGTTAATAAATAAGCCAAACGCTTACTAAAACCGCAAGCTTTTCCCTCGCTGGATGCTAATTTTAGTGCAGAAATGAGTAGCCGGACACCAGTGCTATACCCTCCTCCGCCAGCCTGCCCAGCCTGTGCCTAGCTGTACCTGAGGCACGCATCACTGAAAACCAGGGACTGTGACCATTCTCCGTGGGTTTGTGATGTGGTTGAGGGCATTCCTCATCCCCAGCCCTCTGCTCTACCTTTCTGTCAGGGGTTACAGCCCCTGCAGCAGCTGACAAAAACCAAATACCTGTTCCTCCACCACTGCAGTTCACAGACCACCATACAGATGAAGGACTGCAGCAGCTTGAGGTATTGGCAGACAGCTGTCTTAAGCAGCAACAGGATCCACCAGAATTCATCTGTCAGCATAAAATAGGAAATACGTGGGCTCTGCGCACATTGCCACACCAGGGCACTGCTCTGGACACCCTTGCAGCAGG